TTGCCTAGCTTGTATTTATTCTATTTGAATATTTGACAATAAATGTTCAGCAACTATGCTTGAGAATCATCCCAGTTTTAGAGAGGAGTTATTTGAGGGAATATGGCTCTGGTAGTGTGCCTTTGAGGCTGCACATCTGTACATGTATACAGTGCGCACATGCATACGTCCAAAAGGTCATTAAATTTTTCCTAAGCTAATCACTTAACAAGTTTATAGTGCACCAGAGTTGCTGGTCCTTCGCCAGTGCCTTTTGTCTTGTGTGCTGGTGAGACTCAAATCTGTTAGAGATATCAAAGGTTGTTCTACAACTGTAGTTGGAGCAGAGGGTGTTGAACCACCATCAACAAAGATATTACAATGGTCTCTTCTACTTCAGAATCTAACAAAACTTCTGTGGAAAGCCCAACACCACTCTCCTGCTAAAGAAGGTCTTCGGAGAAGTTCTCTGCTCTTTATTCAGTCACACGGATTGAATCATGAGGTTTTGAAATCAAAAATAACATGCTGCCTGGGAACTTTGCACCTGGAAGCAGAGCAGCTGTAGCACACAGGTAGTAGGAATGCTGCGTCCAGACTCCAAGATTAGAAAATACCAAGAGCATAAGAGGAGGGGACAAAAGGGTTGTGTATTAGCAGTCAATGTGCTACTGAGCAAGTTTTATCCCTCTTTATACTGAATGCAAAGTCATGGTTATTCCATAATAGTTAGCATGACTTTACCTACAGATTTACCAAAATTTTAAATGCATAACGTACATTTTTAATGATACGAAAGCTGGTAGCCATATCTAAACCAAAATATGATCTTTTACTAAGTGGCTATATTGCATCAGCAAAAGAATTGTGGGGAAATAAGTTTTCTAAAAATCTCAATTGTTTAATCTGTTTTCAGTTTACTTAAGCAGCTCTGCTATGTTTAAAGAATTCTAATACACAAAAACTGCATTATTTTCCTTCTCCAAGTTGTGCTAATTATATCAGGATTAGGTATGTGCTTGACAACTTCTTTCTAATTATTTACTGTTTTAATGAATCTGCATTCCGTTGAAGCAAGGCTCACAGGTCTTTGCTAAAATATTTTTCAAGAGGATGATATTCTTATTGTCTAGGGTACTGGTGACAGGACTTGGGGAAAATGTTTGAGTCAGTAGACCCTTCATTGTCAGATTCTTTCAGTTCTCTGAGTGGAATCATAGGACATTGGTGGAACATCGATTGTCAGTGATTTTGGTGTAGTGCTAACCCTTTTAATAACAGCTTTGCTTTTCTGTAGCCACTGCCAATGTCAGTCTAGTATCCTCTGGAATTAAAACTTTGCAGAAAAGTCTTCTAGATAATTTGTATTACCCTTATTCTTCTACACTTCTCATTGTTTCATGAGCTAACTTTAGGGGGATGAGGCACTGCTGGGGATCTGAATCCTAACATCTAGCAGAGTGGTAGGAAGAACTACACCCTTACTTTAGCTGGGACACTGATGTAAGCTTATAATAATGTTTTCTGTTGGCAGAATTTCAGCACTGCTGGTCTTACTGAACCTGGTCTGTGTCAATGATGGCAAGAGTCCCACATGCTGCACTGCATATGCTGTGGATCTTTTTCTTTTCATATACAACAAATGAAGGTGCGTTTGTCAATGTTTTAAATTATTATATGCATATTATATGTGAGAGCGCATTGCCTGGGTCGTCTGATCTAGGTAATCCTACATTTTCCTGTAAATGATCTTTATGAAGGTTTAATGTTACTTACAGCATGCTGTTCTAGTTGAGGATTAGAAAAGAAATCCAGTATTTCAGTTCACTTTTTTAACTACACAAACTGAAAACAAACTTTATATTGCATGTGGTTTCAAAAGGAAATTCTGAAATATCTGAGGTATAAAAAAAATTAAGTGTAGCAGAGATGGAAAAGGGAGATGGTCACAGGAAAAGAATGCAGAAGATAATGAAGAGTTCTGGAAAGGCATGAGGACACTGAAAGGCAAGATAAAGTAAAGCTGCTAATCATCATAGCTTAACACAGCAGGAAGAGCTTCATTTAATTGAAGTATTCTTGAAAGTGTAAGATCATTGACACATTGGAAAATAATAGCATCATCTTTAAAGGGCTTAAAATGTTAGTACTTCTTTTAAAAGTGCATCTTAAAGTGGAAAAAAAGTAACAGTAAAAATACAAATGGCAACCCAATATACACAACAGCAACAGGTTAATTAGATAATGATTCTTTTACAATGAAGGAGCAGTGTGACTGTTGCAGTATTGCAGAATTTTAATCTTTAACTTGCTCCTCTTCTGATGATTCTTGGGTTTTTTTGAAGAACCAGAGACTATGCAGAAGAAAGGGGAATTAAATGTGGTGCTGCCACCATCCAGAAAGGATATAAGAATGATAGTTCTTACCTACAAGACAAGTATCTAGCCTTAGTAAGTAAAACAAAAGAAAACATTTGAACACTAATGAAACTGTGAGCTGCAGTCAGTTCTAGGTTTATAACTGGTCAGTATACCAGACAATTTAGATTATGGTTTTTCTAGAATTTTTAAATGGTTCCTTGACATTGCCATACATCCTCATTTGCATAAGAGAACCTCACTAAGCTTATTGAGCTTTCTCAAGTGATCTGGTTATTGAGGTTACTTAAGTGATCTGCTTGGTAGTCAAGTTTTGTGGGAGGCCTTTTAGGAAAGCAAGTGAAAGTGATGTATGGATTTTAATGAGAGTGAAAACCATACACTTTAAGTGTTTCTTTGAGTCAGGTTTTTATTGAAGTACCAGAGGGTTTGGTGGTAGATCTCGTATGTAATGTTATCATATCCGCTAAAAGGCATCTGACCGTCATGTTTATTACATTTGCAGATACTGTACCGTGTCAGAGTATGCAGAAGTTATATCAGAGTAAATAATACAAGTGGACTACAGAAAAGTAGAAATGTAGGAAGGATTAAATGAAATTAGGTATTTTTGACAACAAAGGTTTTTTCTTGGGAGGAATAATCTGAAACTTAGGCACCTATTGGATAAAATAAGACTGTGAAACAGCAGTGGCTGAAGGACAAGGACCTTGCAGGATGTGAATTGTTGGCAAGTTAATCTTGAATTTGCAATGTAAATTACAAGAACAGAGAGTTAGTAATGTGCTGGGCCATCTAAACAAAATTATTTACATCCTAAAGAGAAATGAAATCATGTCTTTATATGGCTCTTGTATAATTGCTACAGGAAACCTTCTAGCATAATGTCTTAGGAAACTATCAGGAAAATATCAATAAGATTGTAAAAACTAGCCAAAGCTATTCTAAATTTTTGTGGGGAATTGAGATGTAGAGTAGGAGAGAAGGATTTAGATCTGTACAACTTGTTCAGGAAAAGGGAGATATTGGTAATATTTACCAATAACAGAGAAGTCAAACATCAAAAAAGGCAATAAAAAATTGTCCAGGATGATAAAAGTATTAGCTGTTTCCGACTTCTTCATTTAGGAACCATCACATTGTAGTACCACATTTGGCACACTGTTAGTCCTAATAACAGCATGACTTTACTGTCATACAGCTCTTCCTCTTCTATTCCTTGTCTCACTCATGTGCAGTGCATTGAAATAATGGAAAATGAAGCTGGAAGGGATACTTACAATTGTGTATTCCATTTCCATGTCCAGTTCTAACAAAGATATTTTGACCATTATTTCTGGTTTTTTTTCTTAAATACTAACACTGAAAGAGATTTTAAACACATTTAAACACAAAATGGGGAGTACAGAGACTTTGGGCTTTTCTGTAACCTCAATGCCTGGAACTATGTGGCTAAATCTCTCCAAGTTTCTAAACACTATCATAACAATGAAACATAGAAGATAGAACAAGAACTACTGAGTGAAATTAAGAAAAGGTGTATACTAGAAGAAAGCCTGTGACAGGGAGATCTTCTAGGCAATGGGGAACTGCTCTGGGGAGGCAGAGGTTGTGCATGTGGGAAGCTTAGAACCATTGTTCTGTTCAGATAAAGCATGAGTACAGGCCTGTAGGTAGTGATCTTCATCTGACTCATCTACATTTTGGCTTTTGAACCTTTTGTATTTAACCCATAAGGTTATGATATTTTATAATTAAATGTTGATGTGTTTTTGATAGAGCTATCAGAATCAGATTTTCCACGTTTGGAAGACTGTGTTGGATGAGTTGTGCCTTTCTATTTTAATACTACTATTGCAGACCTTCTTCCTCTCCCAGACTGTAGACGTTATCTCCAGAAAGGTGGAGACATTTGGTGACATGCATCTCTTTCCATTTACCCATAATGCAAAAAATAACAGTGCTTTCATTTAATTTATAGATAACTCTGTGTAGACGAAAAAGTTAATGTTTCTGCTTAGTCCAATTTATTCTTTTGATTCTCTTGCTTCTCATTGTGTACTGCCTTTCCCTAGTTATGGTTGCAGGATATATACAGGAATTTGCATGCTTCACTGACTATGACAAAGAGCTGGTTTGTCACTGGAAGGTACCTGCACAAACTAATTGCTCCAAAGAATTCCTGCTCTACTACAGGAAGGAATTGATTTCTCCGACGTAAGTGTTTAATAAGATGTTTCATTATCATTGTTGGAACTTCATATATCTTATAGCCATTATCAGCTTTGATTCCCTCCATCTACCATGGGTATCTGGGACAAAGTGTAATCCAGACTATTCTTCTTGCCAGGAGGAAAATGGGTTGCTGCAATTAACAGTATGGTCTGTTCAGCGGTCTACTCTTCTGCAGACCTCTGCACTGTTAGCACAGAGGAGCAATCAGGTCCTACTTGTAGGAGTGGTAGGGCCCATAAGTTTACCCAGCCTTCATTTAATGCAAAATTTTCACCTCCTTCAGGAGGAAACTTACCTGATTTACTAGTCTGTAGCCTGTGTGAAAGGTACTCTCCCCTGGAGCCCAGGTGATTATCTCTGCATACAGCCTAACTCCACGTTGTCCCTGTTCTGCAGCAGGGCCGGTCATCATCACCTGCAAAGGAAGATGCATCTGGGCTCTCTTCTTCCTCTCCATATGGTTTCTCCATACAGACATCCAAATAAACTCACTCTGTACCCTGTAGTAAGCCTGTTCCTATACTAATAAGCTGTCAGTCCACTCCTTCAGAGGTTGAAGTGTGACAGAGGGTGTTAATTTTTCCTCTTGGGATCAATCCTTAGCCTTTCTGTCAAGTTTTTCATTTGTGTGATACAGATATCCAAGGAGTGTTTGGAGAGAGTTGGGTGTTTGAGAGTTTGGAGGAGCTCAGCTTTGGTTTGGATTTCGAGTTAAATGTTTCTAGGAACAGAGCTTCTTTGTCTCAGATTTTATTAGCTCTACACATTGGGAAGCTTGATGTCACCTTTTCAAGAAATATTATGCCACACTCTCTAAATATCACATAATTTTCTGCCTGTTTTTCAGAAATCGTGTATGTGTCCCTGAGAATGAAAAAGACAGTTTAAGGTGCACTTGCATAATATATCCGGAGTATTTTGTATCAGGCCTCACCTATATTTTAGCTCTACAGTTCAATGGGACTGATACATGGAATTACAGTGTTACACCAGCACTGGTTGGTAAGAAACTGTTTACTTTGTCACCAAGACATCTGGTTCCAGGCTTTGCAATCCTACCTAACTGGTTGTTCATGTCATTGAAACAGTTTTTCCTTATCAGAGGTGAAAAGTGCCATGTTGGCTTAAATGCAAAATCTGTTTGTCTTAGAAACCTAGTTCTGGAGTAGATTCTTACGGAAAGTGTATAGGTAATGAGGCGAGCACAGAGTGATTCTTCCTCTAGCTGTACCTTCTCAGCAGTCAGCCAACAGCAGTTTGGGGGCTTAGACATGTCTTTAGTGCATTTTACTTGTGGCTGTAGAATTCAAGGATGAAGAGGAATGTGCTACTTCCAGTTTCTAGAAAGACACTAGGCTATCCCTACTGAAATTTCTTCCATTCCTGTCTCTGTTATACTTTGATTTTTCGTGCTAGTTTAATCATCCCTCTGAACAGAGATTTTTACAATAATTGCTGTTGGATTATAACAACCAATGATAAGAAGTTTAATTACTCTGCTCTTCCACAGGACAGAGCGTAGATACAGCTTATGTCTCTCTATAGGCACCTAGTTTGTTTAAAACAGTGTGCTTGTTCATAACACTTGTCACCTTAAACATTCGGAGAAATTGTTCACATGCCTTAGACAGGCACTCATCTGCATTGACCAGTTGGTTCTTTTCAGAATACTTGGTTGTCACTGCTGCTTATCAGCTGACCAAGCGGGAGCCTGCATTGGTTTCTAAGAGACAGGTAGCCAGGACAGCCTGGCTGTGAAGTTGTCAGAAGGTCTGTGCCTACCCCATGGCACAGCATGCTATTGTGAGGGTGCAGGTTGTTTCATTTTTCCAGGCTGAAAACTGCATCCAGCGCACCAAAAGGTTGGACTTGCAGTTTGTTCAGACAGCTTGAAGATTTAGTGCTTTTTAATGGATACCTTGCAGCTGCTCTGTTTTCGCCTCTATATCCTTGTGTATAGTGAAAAGGTCTAAATGCATTAACTGCAATGAGATTCTGGTCTCTGGTGACCGTGTGTCTCCCTGCTTCTCTCCATCAGTGCTTTCCCATTGCCATGTTCTCTTTAATTGTATTTTTTTAACATACAGTTAAGCCAAGGGCCCCCAAAAATCTTGCCATTGAGAAGGTTGAAAATGGAAATTTCAATCTGAGCTGGGAGGAGAGCTACTCTTCTTCACCCATGCTCTCTGGACATTCAGTCATCTATGAAGTGAAATACTGGAGAAAGCAGCACCCAACAGAGGTAAGAGACAGCCAGTCTCTTAATTTTCTGTCTCTCTGGAGCTTTCGGGTTTAAAAAGTCCTCTGAAATGTCTTTAAACCATTTAGTTAATAATAGTGTAAGGGCAAGTCCCACAATGTTCCTGATCACACACTTGCCACAGGTTACATTGCCCCAGGGTGGTTCAGCTGGGTTTTAAAGGATTGAAACTCTTCTGACTGCTACCCCAAAATGGTCTGCTGTTCACAGTAGACAGGCAGAGATTGAAAACACAGTGCTTCTGTTCCCTGAACTTCATTTGCTCCTTAGACATCAGGAAGCTGGAGGCTGTTCATGACTCCGGCGCACTTGAGGCATTTCAGACACCCTCCTAAACAACCCAGCACTTTAGAGCTGGGCTTCTTCTGGTAAGGGGAGAACATGCATGGTGGCATGCCACAAGTACCACCTGCTCATGACAACAAAATGCAGTATTGCACACAGCAGATGAGGTATTCAATTTGCTCATTTATGAAAGGTCGCTGAAACACATAACGCTATTGTTATTTAATTCCTTTCACTAACCTTCACCTCATAAAGAAATCACAGTGAACTTTCTCGCTTTCCTTTCAGGTTTCTGTAAAAGCAATTAACTACCAGGCAAAAAGCTTTGAAATTACTGCAAGCTCCTTGAGGAGAGGCTATGATTACGTTGCAAGTGTAAGATGTAACTATATAGAGTACCCGGCCTACTGGAGTGAATGGAGTGAAGAAGCTGAATTTCACTATGGTAAGAATTGTAACAAATGGCAGCTTGATAAAAGGATCAAATAGTTTTAGAACCCATATCATACATACCCCACTGCTCTCCTCTCAGAGGAGAGTTATGGAATCATCATCTTCATCCTTTTGAATGTGTCGTGGCTACATCCGTACAGGCTTTCAAAGAGACTAAACATAAAAAGGCACCTCCTGAGGAAACTACGGAAGAGAAGACCAAGGGAAGTTGGATTGTTTAGCCTTGTGGAAAAAAAAAAGACTGAAGGAGATGTGTGTATTCTCTATACGTATTCACATGAAGTAAACACCAGGGAAGAAGAAGATCTATTTAAACTAAAGAACAAAATTGACATAAGAGCAAGTGGATATAAATGAAAAAGAGCTCTTTAGGCTGCAAATTAAGCGATACTTTAACCATCAAGGCTGGGGTTTATTAAAAAAAAAAAAAAACTCTGAAGAGCAATGGAGAGGACAAGAAGCATAGCTGCATGACAGTGGAGATGATAATGCCATTTTAGGGATTGTGTGACAGGTTTGTCCCTTAGCACAAATGGCCTCACAGTACATGTTGGCTCTCCCAGCTCTTAACACTCACAGTAACTGCCTGCAGTACTTGCATTGACCTTTCAGACATGCCACGCACCATCGCCACTGGTAGCTGTGTATGTTCTGTTGTTTATCTGCTGGAGGCTTTAATTTATACCCCCTTAAAGGAGAATTTTTTTAAGGTGCAAAAGAAGAGCGATTAATTTGATATTGCCAGTACTTGTATTTATATGCACATACACTTGTAAATGTATATGTTTATTTAACAGATTACCAAGTAACAGCTGAAGACATTCTGCAGATGGCTGTGCCCATATCCTGCATACTGATCATGGCTGTATCTGTCATCTGTTACTTCTGTTTTACCAGGTATCTATCATACTGTTCACACGTTTTATAGAGTAGCAGTTTGCACAGATAATCAGTTGATTAGCTGAACGTCTGGTAGTACAGGAATCTAATGTTTTGTTTTTCCTCAGCACCTTTATCTCGCTCTCTATGAGCAAACATGATATAAACGTGAATCCATTGCACTCTGTCATTTTTTGAACAGATAACTGAATATTCTCTATTAATCTTACTACAATGGGTTTGTTCTAGCATCCAAAACAGGCTGCAGTTACCAGGTTTGTCAGTTTTGGACCCCAGTCTTTGCTGGAGTTCCAGTAATTATGGTTAAATATTTGTATTTCTTTTGAAATTTTTTAGTGATAATGTGAAAGTGGAATCCTATGTGTTTCACACATAATTTCAAACATGATTAGAAGAACATGTGACTGTGGTTGTACAGAGCAGTCACACGCCAAATATATAAACAGTTTTGCACTAGTTTAATGAAAAGCAGCACTTGGCGATGCACAGAACAAGCACTTCCTGTTGCTGCAACGTAGGTGGCTAAGAGGGAGAGAACAGAAGAGGGAAGTGTACAGTGATGAAGCCAAAATCCAGGCAAAGCAAACAATTTTAATTCTTCCCTTGCAGAGTGAAGAAAGAATGGTGGGATCAAATTCCAAATCCAGCAAAAAGCCATTTGGTCGTAAAAAATGTCAAGGTAATATAAAGGCTTTGCAAAAAATAGCTCTTCCTGATCACCAGAAGTAGAATATGTAGTAAGTGCTATTATCTGGCTAGTGCAGGGGATACTAAATACAATTCAATGTGTCCTAAATCTCATTTGTATCTTTCTCAGTTTTCAGTTTTGTGCTACATTGATGAAATTAAGTTCCCTTTCCAAGATTTAAAGCGGAGTCATATGGAAAACCACATGTAAGTAAGATAAAGGAAAAAAAAAAAACAACCCTCTGCTTTACAGCATAAAATATTTTCCTATTACATAAACTGTCCTTTCCTTTTGACTTCCAAAAACAGAAGTTGCAAGGACTGTCTCTCTCAAAGTTTGTCAAGCCAAAACTTCAAGGGAAAAGATAACATCAGAAATACTGAGAAATCTTGCAGTTGCCACAGCAAGTCTGGAGAGTGGTTTCCAAAAGGCAGCGGTGCAGTTTTAACCCCTGAGACAATTCTGGTTGAAGAGTCTATAGAAATCTGTGAATGTTTAACAGACATTGAGTCTGAGAGCCAGGAAGAGACTAGTGACCAGATCGCCATATCTGAGCCCTGTGAGAGCAGTGTCAGTGCTTTCAGAGAGCACACTGAACACAATGACGCACTAGCTAGCATGTTTATTGAGCTCCTGTCAGATGAAAACAACATGCAAGACAATAAAGACCCAGACACCATCACAGATGAGAATAAAACCTTTGAGAAACTTGAATCAGAAAACCCATCACAGCGAAATCTAAAAGAAAGTGCAGCCCAGAGTCAGCAGCCACGTGATATTTCTCATACAGTCTCCCTTTTCACCAAAGCCTCTCAATATGACTACAATTGCAGTACAGCCAGCAAGAAGTCAGGACAATCAGAAGAATCCTTTGATTCTGGGTATCAGAGCTCCAGCATAAATTCTGCTTCAGTGGATGCAAGAGATCTTCAACATAGAGTTCATCAAAGCCTTTTTCCATGTAGTTCTGAAAGTCAGCATGACTTCTGTGTCCTGATCCAGGAATCTCCAAATAAACCATCCTTTGGGACCAAAAAAGGCAGAATAAACAACCCTACACACGAGAGTTTTGATACCCTTGTGCATCCCTCCATGGAGCTGTGTAGCTCTGCATATAAGAGCTGTGACACTCTTATCTCTCCATCCATGGAGCCCTGTGGTTCTGCATACAAGAGCTTTGATATTCTCGTGTCTGCGTTCAAGGAACCAAGTAGCTCTGCGTACAAGAGCTTTGATACCCTTATGTCTCAGTCTATGGCTAACAGCAACCTGCCTCTGACAGAGTTTTCAGAGACATCAGAACTTAGCTGCAATGGTCAAATTTATCAACCCCCTAGCAATCAGACATGTTGCACCAACTACAGATCTCCTTGCACTGAGCTTGATTTTCAGAACACCTGTTCAGAACATACTGATTTTCCATCATTCTCCACACATGCAAATGACAGTGCTTCAGCTTTCCTACCAGAGGAGGAAATACATAAGCAAGTAACATGTCAAAATGTTCAAGAGAAAGCCAATATAATTTCTTGCCCCACTGGACCTCAACCATCTGGTTATCAACCTTTTGATAATGCAGTTAAATGCAGTGGTGCCTACTGTGACAATGACAGTGACGTTACCTCTAGGTCACTGTATGATCCTTTCATTAGCCTTTTGTACAACAACCTGGAAGAAGCAACTCCAGATACCATAATCCATGAATGTGACCAGAGGACAGATGACCACGTATGTTCAATTGTACAGGGTTTTGACTGCAGCATTGTTCCAGGTTTAGCCTCTAGTGAGAACGTCACACAGGCCAGTGACGGCAGCCTTTGGATAATCAATTCTAATGAGCTGTCTGGTGATAGCAAAGATGAAAATACCAGCAGAGATGAACAGCTGTTGCATTTGTTAGAGCTGAACTGTCAAGATTTTAACAGCAGAGAAAGAACTATAAAGCAGACAAACCCTAACAGCTTTACCTGTACTAGTAAAGAAATGCAAGAGAGCAGCAGTAACAGACTAAATACTGACTTTCACTGCCACAGACACAACCACTTCAGGAAAGCTGGAAATGTGGGGGAAAATAAAGAGGTGATAAAGCATGCAGTAGGCAGGAGGTGTGGCTCAGCAGCTAGTTTACCACAAGAATCACTGGACAGCATTGGGCTAAACTTAGAAAGCAAAACTGCAGAGCCCCTAGAGCTTCTGGTCTCAGACAAGTTGTCACCTCCTCTTGTTGAGGATAACTCCTGTCCTTCTGATTCTCACACTATTGGCAGTGAGGGTTCCAGGCTGGCACCTGCAGTTAAAAAAAGAGCAGTAGAACTATTGAGGGAAAACAACAGGAAGAATGAGAAAAAAGCAAAAGTTGTTCAAGCCATTGCACAGGAGGACAACTGCTACATGAAGGTTGCCTAGCCACGCTTGCTGAGTTTCTAAATAAACTGTATGGCAAATTGAAATGTTGCTTGTTCTTCCAATCTTGCCTGAAATGAGGGCTGCTACAGTTCAGACATGGATTCAGTGGGTTGTAACACTCACTGTAATGCCCGCAGACACATGGTCTGAATCTTGGGATCGTCCTGTGCAAGGACAGGATTTGGACTCAGTGATCCGTATGGGTCCCTTCCAACTCCCAACATTCTATGATTCATGCCTGCTGCAGCGCTGGCAGCTGGTATGTGATGCAGGACCCTGGGGAGCAGTAGGGATTAGCACCTAACAGTTGCAACTACAACTCTGTTGGGGTGGGGGGACAGTAAAGCCAAAGTTTCTCTGGCTGTGATTGCTCTCTAAAAATGAGCAGCAGCTGCATGAAGTAGGAGTTCTTAGTACAGCTCTTGTGGCTCTGTATGTTGCTTGGGAAGCACACAAAGGTTATGTGGAAGGGGCTGACACACCTGGAAGTGGGATGTAGGTGCAGGTCAAAGGGGAAGTGACTGACTTGCACTGGCAGCATCACACAACTTTCATAATTTATTTATTGGGGGGAAGAGTGAGGTCCTGTGTGCCTAGCCTCCACAAGGGGTATATGTTTCTATACTTGCTTAATCAAGACCTGAAATAAAGATTCCTGTCATTTGGGCTTAACCAATGCTATTATTGGTTATTAGTTTCTTACTCAATAGAAGCAAGCAGAGTTATTTCATACATCTACAGCTGTAAGTGTAATCAGACATTTCTAAGCAGTGTTTTCCTAGAAAGTTTATCCAGTGTGTAGTCAGACTCCCTAAACTGATGAAGTACTTTTTCGGCTGCTTCTTCTTGTCCAGTCAGAATGGGAAATACGGCTGCAGCTTTAAGGCAGCATATACTTCCTGTTGGATAATTGTTCCAAATTTTTACTTACGACTCTGAACTTTTCTAGGATGTTACTATATATCATATATGGTAAATTCCACCCTAGTATGCTGGCAGTAGCACAAAATAGTTAAGAACCATTAAGTAATTTTGTATGTATTAAATATGTATGTTTATTCTAATTATTTAGAAAACCCTATTTGCATTGCCATTCATAAGGAAGGAAACAGTAACAGAAACTGGTTTAACATGTTTTGTAAGTAAGATTTTTGTACTGCCAGTCTTTCTTCAAAGTTCAGGTTGGTTAGCTAGTAGAGGTATCTGCATCAATTTTACAGCATAAAAAAGATCATGTAAGCCCTGGAAGGAGATTTGCAGTGAAATGTCCATATTTAGATGTGATAGTTTGTATAGGCACTGGTTTGTAGCTCACTTCCACTAAGGTGGAGGTTAGTGAAAGATCTTGCTGCTTGTAGCTAAGGTGCTGATGAACCTGTTGTTTATTTGGTTTTACTGAAAATATCAGGTTGAGTTTTATTTTCACTCAGATGAGCTTTAATTCTGTCAGAAGTACTGTTCCTTTGCAAAAGGCAGTCACTGCTGTAGTTAACATCAGTACAAATTCTGTGAAGTGGGAGGGCTGTGAGGCAGATGAAGAGGCTTTCCATCAACCACACCCGCACCGAAATGGTGGAACAGGAAGATGCGTAGAGGCCGTGGTCTGCCTCATGAGTAAGCCGACTCACTTCCCTAAATCCAAGCAAAGTCAAGTTTAAGCAAAAACCCACAGCTAGTTATTGCAGCTACCCAGAATGGGTTACTCACTTTTTACACAGCACAGGGCTATTAAGGGTGGCACAGGGACAGCAGTGGTGCTTTCTTCCCCTTCTGCTCCAGCCCTCCCCCTTGTGCTCTTTGTGAAATCTTCCTGGAAGGCTTGCAGTGGTTTGCTGCAGCCCTCCTCTGCTGAGCCCCAGCTTCATTCTGCCTTTCCCTGGCTTTTTTTCTTCTGCAGAGCTGTGTCCTCCTGTCTGCTCATTTCTGTTGGATGGCTTTCTGTGCTTTTCATTTCCTTCTCTCTCTTCAGTCTTTCTCTGGTGAAATAAAACTGTAACTCTTTGAGAAGGGGCAGCCCTGTTCCTATGCCTTTGCATAACCTAGAATTGGCGATAAACACTGGGGCTGGCTGGGTGGTTGGCCAGCTCACCCCATCCTGCAATAGGCATGGTGCATGACTGCAGTGGGAGCTAGGTTCACATTCTGTCCTCCACTGCCTGTGCTTTTGCTGTCCGGAGCAATTGCCAGGCTGTAAAACACAGGTAGGTTTCAAATGCCAGGTTGCTGGCCTAAGATGATGATCTGCCCAGAGTGTGTGGGAGTTCTAACTTTGGGCTGGCTCCCAGGACTGCCAGCCAGGTGTACTGACCTGAGCCACACCTCCCGGGCACCAGCCTGTGCTTGTAAAGGCATCTTACCCTCCTGAGAGAGGAACTTCCTTCCTGAAAGCTGGGACCCTCCAAACATGTCCGTTTTAGCTAGTGGAGGGCTCCTACCAGGACAGAGAATTAGTGATCGTACCAAGGATATTTTCAGTGGTTTTCAAGTTGTTTTGTAAGACTGCAGTGCAAGTGGAGGCTTGTGCCAAGTTTTAGTCTTGTTATAATGCCTTTTACTACACGCTCACAATCACTCCACCTCCACATCTTTCTCACCTGGCTGCCTACCAAGTATTAGTAACCTGACTCACCATGAGTGAAATGGGTTCCTGAGAAAGGCAGGTGTATTCCCAGTTCAGGAGAAGCTAGTTCTGATGCTCTGTTTTTCCTTTGCAGAGAATGCCACATTGCCTTGCCTTTTTTTCTTTCTCTTTTCTGAACAGTGTTAGCTCCTTGGAAATACACGCCTGTATGGAACAGCTGTTGGCAAACTCTTATCAGTCACAAGGTGGTGTTGCCTGTGGAAAAAAAACAATAACCACAAGATGAGGGTGAGAGTAATGTGGAGCAGAAGCTTGAGGATGTGGGGTCAAATTCTTGGGGGTATGGACAAGTTAATTTAAGGCCACAAAAATGATCAGGGGATGGAACACCTCTCCTACGAAGAAAGGCTGAAAGTTGTCCTTGTGCAGCCTGGGGAAGAGAAGGCTTCAGGGAGACCTTACTGTGGCACTGGAAGGAGGCTTATAAGAAAGATGGGGACAGACTTTTTAGCAAGGCTTGTAAGTGATAGGACAAGGGGTGATGGTTTTAAACTGAAAGAGGGGAGATTCAGACTAGATGTAAGGAAGAAATTTTTTATGGTGAGGGTGGTGAAACCCTGGTCAGGTTGCCCAGAGAGGTGGTAGAAGCCCCATCCCTGGAAACATTCAAGGTCAGCCTGGACAGGGCTCTGAGCAGCCTGATCTGGTTGAAGATGTCCCTGCTCACTGCAGGGGGTGGGCTAGATGGCCTTGAAAGCTCCCTTCCAACACAAACTATTCTATGATTCTAATTTAGGGTGATGGAGGGGTCAGCTTTTTAAATAACTTGTCTCTACGTCTTGCTTTGGGACTCTGCGTTGTTCAGGCAGGGTGCACAAATGTCCAAGTCCTTATTCATCATGAGCTACAAACTTTATCTAAGAAAACAAGTTCTTTTAGGTGTTATATTCTAGCAGTGACATGGCCGAAGGAACATAGGGTGAGAGAACCAAATGAGGGGGTTCTGGCTTCTGAAACCTGCTCCTTAATGTTTACCTCTGACTCTGGAATAATTTGACAAAACTCCTTAGTGAGTAGAGACTGAGAGGGCAGTTTGCTTTCTTGTAGCCGTGTGTTTTCTGTAGAAAACTCCTTAGGGAGCATGATTTGTGCAGTTTGTATTCTAGCTCTGACAGGTGCTTGCAAAGTGTAGTTTTGCATACAGTTGCTTTCACAAATAATAGGTGTTTTTGACTAATTCTCAGGGGAACTGTGCCCATGCAATGCACAGGTGCGCACACACACACAAACATCATTTCCGTCCGTCTACAGATTGCTGAGTACAAGGTCTGTCCCAGGCTTCCACAGGGTGATGTATCATGATTACACATTACCTGTAATTTTATTTTTTTTTCACCACAGTGCTGCGACTGAGGCATCCATGTCATGCCATCGGCTTTTCATCAGACGTTGCAGCCATGGCACACAGCCCTAAATTGTGGTGACGAGGGCGGAAGCCAAGCACCAGCTCAGCATGAACTTGCTGACAATCAGAGCAATGAAACCAATGAACTGGTCTGGATTTCAGCTGCAGGACTGTCATCTCTCAAAGCAGATTGGCTCCAAAGCGAAGAAAAAAAACAGCCAAGGGAGGAAGAGAGCACTTTCTATGTACCTCACTAACACGCTTAACCAAGGTTAAAGTTTACTAATTGCCCTAACTGGTTGTGTTTTCCCTGAGCACCTAATAACAGCCATCAGCTAAGTCCTGGCTATTCTCATCCCTTTGACAAGCTGAGAAAGCAACATTGAGAGGAACTTAACATCTCTGCTGCACTCTGGCCAAAGGTGCTTTGTTCTGTTTGTCCCTTGTGCTGTCCCGTTTCTGTCCTGTGCTTTCTGTGGCTTTCTGCAACATAGACATTTCTACACAGCTGCCTTCTATGCTTCCAGCAAGACTGCAAAGAAAAGAAAAACTGGCTGCAGCCCTAGATGAGCAGAGT